TCTTTCCCTGTCCTCCTACCCAGCGTCCACCCCTCCTCACCAAGTGTTGACCATGTGCCAGCCTGCTGTTGGGGCCACTAGGCAGTGAGTAACTCAGACATATCCCCTGCCCTGCCATAGTCGGAGGAATGTTAGGGAAGCAGGCATTGAACCCTTGTTGCTATGAAGGAGTACACTGGGCTGTGGGACTCAGCGAACGGTTGATGATGCAGGCAGAGGCCGGATGTGCACAGGCCTAGGATGAGACGTGAGCCCAAAAAATGGCTGCTGTGGCTGGCAACCAGGCAGCACTGTTGTGTGTGATGGGAGAGGCTGGCAGGGGCCAGATCTTGTGGGGCCTGAGAGTGGAGGGAAACTGCTGGCGACTCAAGAGCAGGGGTTTGCGTTTTGGGAAGATGAACCTGGGTCAGAACTGTCCAGAGGGGGCAAGAGCAGATCAGGGAGACTGCACTTTCCCAGCTAGAGATGGTGGTCTCAGCGGGAATGGAGAGAAGCAGGTACCTTTGAGGATGCTCAGGAACTAGGCTCAGCAGGGATCTACTGGGTGTGGGAAGAAGACAATGTGTGGCAAGAGCAGGAGCCGTTTATTAACGGGATGTAGGAGAAACAGCTTGTAGAGTTTTTGAGGGGAGACAGATGATTCTTTTAAAGTACTAAGCTTGGGATATGAAGAATGTGGGCACTGAAGTGAGCATTGGGTTGAGTCCTAGTTCTACCACCTTCTAGGGTAGATGTGACCTTAGGCAGGTAACTTTTGAGTCTCAATTTCCTCAGAGTAAAATGGGGTCGATAATGTCACCCTTACAGGGTTTTGGGAGGATACTAGATACTGTAAACAAAGTGCCTGGCCCAATAGTGGGCATATCAATGAATGTGGGTTCCTCTCCCTTGTGGGGGTAGACTATGGGGGAGAAGGGAGCAGCGGAGGAAGAAGGGGCAGCAGGCCTTCCCCTGCCCCTGCCCCTGGGTTCTGCGGCCCCAGTGGCGCCAGGTCTTCCAGTGCAGCGGCCATCAGGAGTTCCTGGCCTGCGGCCCCTGTGCTGGCTGCCTCCAGGGACCCCCCTCTCACTTGCAGGGAAGCCCTGCGAGGGCAGCTGCTGCCTGCACAACAGGACGAGGATGCCGAGGGCACGTGCAAGCCTCTGTCCTGTGGCTGGGAGATCACAGACACCTTGTGCATGGGCCCTGTCTTCACCCCGGCGAGCATCACATGAGCGGGGCCCGTCCCCTCGCCCCCGGAGAACCCCAGCGGGGCCGCAGAGATGCCTCTGGGAGTGGAGGGGAAGGTGGCGATCAGGAGCACCCTCTGGCCAGGACTCCAGCACTCGCTCTGCCGGCCCCACACTCCCCCTGCAGTGTTTCTGCCCTGTAAATAGGACCAGTCTTACGCTCCCTGTAGTTCAAGTATGCAACATAAATCCTGTCCCTCCCAGTTGTGTCTGTCTCCTCTGCAGCGCCAGGGGCCTGGTCAGCCAGGTATGGGGGTGTTCTTGGGGTCTCCCTTGGTCTGCTCCCCACCTTTGTAAATATGAAGCGAATAAATATTTAGGTTGTTTAATACACCAGTGGAACCCGGCGGTTCAATCCACGAAGCAGCCTGGGTGAGGCCAGGGCCGAGACTTCCCCACCCTCACCCTACTATGATAACCCCATGCCCTCTGCTTCGGTCCTGACCCGCTGCAGTGTGGGCACCTCCCACTGGCACCCAGCTTCTCTAACTCATCTCTCTCGTCTTCACAAGCTTCCATGCCTGGCTTCGTGAGGAAGGGGGAGCTGTCAGGGGCTGGGGTCGGGGTCACGGTTGTCTCCGTGCAGCACCGGGGCTGCAGCTCATGGCTGGTGAGGGGCTTCTGTGTGAACCCAACAGCCAGCTTAAGTCCCGGCCCAAAGTGGGGAAAACTGAATATTTGGCACCGCTTTTGGAAATTCATACCAAAGATAAAGAGCAAAGAGGTGGGTCCCTGAGAGGTTCTGAGGAGACCCCGTACCCTTCCTCTCCTTGCAGGTCAGCAAGGCAATCAGAGTAATGCAAATATGTGCTGGTTGGTTTTGCTTATTCAGGCAGTAATTGTTAGAACATGGTTGGCCACAGACTCCTGCCACATCCAGTGCCAACGGCTCTGATGCTCATGTCTCCTCAGACACTGGCAGTTCTCTTCAGGACTTCACATTGCTAGGGTCTCAAGCTATGCAACTGGGGTGTGTGAGCCGCTTAGCAAAGGAGTTCAGATTTTAGAGTTCCCCCAGCTGCTACTGGTGACCCTAAAGATTTTTCTTCTGCAATTAAAAAAAAATTGAGATATAATTCACATGCCTTAAAATTCACCCTTTCAAAGTGTAGAATTCGGTGGTTTTTAGTATATTCACAGAGTTTGTGCAACCATCACCACTACCTAATTCTAGAACAGGTTAATTACCTCAATAAGAAACCCCATATCCACTAGCAGTCACTCCCCACTCTCCCCTCCCCCAGCCCTGGCACCCACAAATCTATTTTCCATCTCTGTGGACTTGCCTGGTCTAGACATTTCATTGTGATTGTTTTTATATCTTCACTTGAGCTTCTCACTGGGTAAGCCTAGTACAATGTGTGTTTTTTTTTTCCCACACCACCAAGCAATTCTCAGACACCAGCCGGGCATCCTACAACTCCACTCAATTCTGACACTACGTACCTACCTAAGAGATAGAATCAGATCCCACAGGTTAAGGGCTCAGTCCTACAAATCTGAACAACAGAGCAAGGAGTCTGAACTTAATTCTGCAGGCAGCAGGGAGCCCTATATGCTTCTGGAACAGAAGCATGACAGGGCCTTTGAGAGGATAATTGAAAGTGTATTCAAAAGGGGCCGAGGAAGACCTAGTAGGCTGGTGGTAGCATGCACTTCCTTCACCCCACAGCCTGTTTAAGGCGGGTCCAGCCAGGGATCCTGATGGGGGTCCAAGGGACACAAGTTGTCATCTCTGTCCACCCCTGCTCAGGAGGGAGATAGTGGCCCTCTGGGTGTCCCCGGGTGTCCCCCACCCCCACCCACTCATTCCAGCTGTAAAGGGACCATACGGAAGGCAACAGGATGTGAGTTCCCAGTCAACACTTTGCTCCATTTTAAACCCTCTTCCTGGCACCTAGGGGATGAGTAGCTAAGCCCGTGTAAACTTAACCTACAAAATTATCTGATATAGGCTCCTAACAGTCAGAGGGATCTTGTTGAAACATGAATCCGATCTTGTCAATCCTCTGCTGAAAATCCTCCAGTGGATTCCCACTGTGATGCCAATGAAAGTTAAATTGCCTGAGATCTCCGCCCACTTTCCAACCTCATCTCCTGCCACTCTTCTCACCATGCACCGGCCTACTGGCCTCTTTTCAGCTCCTCACATCTACTGAGTTCTTTCCTGCTTCCAGACCTTTGCCCTTGCTGTTCCCTCTGCCTAAATTGCTCTTCTTCCAGCTTCTCCAGGGCTGACTCATCCCTATCTTAAAGGGCTCACGTTAAATGTCACCTTCTCAGAAAGGCCTTTTCTGTACACCCTATTTAAAGTGGCCCCCCAGCTAATTATGTGGAGCACATTTTACAGAAATTAGATTCTAAAGGCAGTATTTAAGGCAAGAAACACACTGTCAAAGTTGTCACTGAAAATCCCTGAGAAAGCTATCATACTGGAGGCAGTACATCATTCCTCTCTTTGTGTTCCTCTAACACACCAGGCACATTTCCTTATAACCCCAAATAGCTCCATGATCTTTCTCCCTCACACCTTCAGATCTTTGCTCACGTTACCTTCTAAGTGAGGCCCTCCTGACCACGCTCTTTAAAACTGTGATACTCCCACCCCAGTATCCCTTGATCCCCTCCTGTTACTCCTGCACCCCACAGCTCATCATCTGACATGCATTTTACTTAGACTTAGGCTCTTAAGGGCAGAGATATGTTTGTTTACTGCCGTGTTCCTAGTGCCTAAAGCACTGCCCACAAGCAAATATTCAACAAATAAGTTGAATGAATCAAGTTTCAGCTTGCGTATCTCCCTTTTCTCTTACTCTCTGCCTGGATATTGCACCTCTGTGCTTTCACAGCGTGCTGCATTTACCCATCTTAAAGAACTGTTGATCGCAATGTATTGTAATCTTTCTACTCGTCTCCCCGCATATCTGTTAATTCCACATAGAGAGGGAATATTTCTCCTACTTGCCAATGTCATCTGGAGCCTGGGTTTGTGCTTAGCACAGAGTAAGTGCTTAGTGTCTTCGAATAAACTAGTCTTGGAGGATGGCGGCGGGGGGGGGGGGG